AAAAAAAAAAAGAAAAAAAAAGAGATATAAATATATATATATTAAAAAAAAAATACAGTAACCCCCAGACTCCGCAGCTCCGTCTGCCGCGGGCAGGAACAGCCAAATAACTCAGGAATATTTTTTTAAGGGATATAATCACCTCGGAAAGTGCGTGCGTGGGGTGAGCGGGCACCCCCGCGGGTGCGGGTCCCCGGCTATTTATCTCTGTGTATATATCTCTATATATGCATTTCTTACGTGCGGGTGGGGGGAAATCCAGGCTTGTGCGTGCCCACACGCAGACCTTGATGTGCCCGCACGGATTTATCCGCTCGCACACGCACGTCCCCGCGTGTGCGGGGGGAGGTATTTGTATATAACGCACGGGGGGTGCAGCAGGGCTGTGAATTCAACACAAAAATACCTCAAAACTTGCCACGCGAACACACCTGGAACGGCTCCTCGAGCAGCAGAACCATCCCCTTCACAGCAAACAATAATAATAATAAATAGTAATAAATAATAATCCCTCCCCATTTGTTTTTAAACACGTTTCGAGGAAATTAAGCGATAAAAAAAAAAAAAAGGAAATAATCTCCCGCTCCCCTCGGCCTGCCCCCCCCCCGGGCAGAGCAGGGAAAGGAGATGGGACACGAGTGGGGGGGGAGGGAAACGCTCCCCTTTTCCGTGTAATTACAGAGCAGGGTGGTTCGACCTCCCCCCCCCCATTCCCCCAAATCCAGACGGGGTTAAAAATGTATAATAATAATAATAAATAGTAATAAATAATAATCCCTCCCCATTTGTTTTTAAACACGTTTCGAGGAAATTAAGCGTTGAAAAAAAAAAAAAAGGAAATAATCTTCTTAACAATCCCCCAGTAGGAGACTGGAGAGAGGGTGGCGATGCATCAAAAGTAAATCTTCTTAACAATCCCCCAGTAGGAGACTGGGGAGAGGGTGGCGATGCATCAAAAGTAAATAAAAAAAAGAATAAAGAAAAAAAAAGAATAGAAAGGAACCCCAAACTATTATCTGAAATAGCCTGTTTTGGACTTAAAAAAAATAATAAATGAGCAAGCTCAAGCGGTAGGTGTTTGGAAGAAGCGGTACCTCTGCGGGACACAACGAGCCGGGAGGAGGGAGCGACACAAACTAGTTCTGGTTTTTGAGCAAAAAAATCAACTCGCATCACCAGGACGGGATAAAGGACAGAAAGGCACCTTTATAATGACTTTAGTGCCATTGCTTTATTTCCAAACGGGTGCAAAAGAAGCAAAACCTGATTTATTTTTTTTTTTTCCCTCCATAAAAACGTTTGTCTAGGTAGGAGAAAACTGCAAATATCTTGTAAAAAAAAAAAGAAAATAAAGAAAACTTTTATGAAAGGGCGCTGCTTTAAAAAATGCAGCCTGCTTTAGACTCAGGAAAAAAAAAATCTCAGCTTGGATACGGTGTGGTGCTTCGTAATCACGGTCTGTAAGGGTTTATTTTGGGGCTGGGGGGGTTTCAGGGACCTTTGCTCTCTCTCTTTGCGTTTGCCGGATTAAAAAAAAAAAAAAAAAATTCCCAGCCAGGGAATGGGTTTCAAAATGTCGGTCACTTCATGGGTGTTTCTCTGCTGGACCCCCGCATCCAGGGATGCTTCTGCCCAGGGATAATTTATTTTCGGGGGGGTTGTGTGTGTGTGAGTGCTGTGGGTGGGGAGGGGAATTATTTCCCCGGGGTTGGGCACATCCAGCGGCCGATGCTGCCTTTTCCCCACGCCCCGGCCCCAAAAAACGTGCATTTAAAAATAACCACCCAGGGGAGAAAAAAGAGCCTTTTCCAGCCATGTATTGGGTTTTCTGTTTAGATTTACTGTATCTTTATTTATTTGAAGTTGTTGTAAGTATATGACGATGAAAGTGTTAATTCCTGCGTGCAATATGGAATCTAGGCTGAGAAATAAATACCTTT